TTTCTGTCGTTCCTTCTTCAAGTCTAGGTGAATTCGAGACCGTACCATTCTATGGTCACTGCATCGTACCTTGCCAACCACTTCCACATCCTGCACGATTCCTGGGTGTGCAGTCATTATAAAGTCTATTGCGTTCTTATTTTCGCCATTAGGGCTCCTCCATGTCCATTTACGGTTTTCTCGTTTTCGGTAGAAGGTATTCAAAATCCGCAAATTATTGCGTTCTGCGAACGCTACTAGTAGCTCTCCTCTGGCGTTTCTAGTGCCGATGCCATAATCTCCTACTGTCTGGTCTCCAGCCTGCTTCTTCCCTACTTTTGCATTAAAGTCACCCATCACTATAGTATACTGTGTTTTTACCTTACTCATTGCCGATTCCACGTCTTCATAGAAGCTTTCAACTGAAGCGTCATCATGGCTGGATGTAGGCGCGTAAGCCTGTACTACCTTCATCTTGTATCTTTTATTCAGTTTAATTACAATACCTACCACCCTTTCATTAATGCTATAGTATTCCTCTATGTTGCCTGCTATGTTTCTGTGAATTAGGAACCCCACTCCCAGTTCTCTTTTGTCTGCCAAGCCCCGATAGCAAAGGACGTGCCCATTCTGTAGCACAGTATAGGCCTCATCTGTCCTCCTGACCTCACTGAGCCCTATTATATCCCATTTACCACCCTCTAGCTCCTCAAATAGTACAGCTAGACTTCCCTCACTAGATAAGGTTCTAGCGTTAAACGTTGCCAAGTTCAGGTTCCAATGGCGGCCTGTCCGGATCCAGAGATTCTTAGCACCCTCTGCTGCGTTGCAGATCTGACCGCCGCCGTGGTCAATTGCTTCGCAGCTGCTGGGGACTGAGGGCCATGAGTTATTTGACGTATGCATGTGGGAGGTCACCAACATCTTACTGCGTCATAAAGCACTACAATGCTGCTAACGGCTCGAGGGACTGCGTTTACGGCTGATTTGATGAAGTCCATAATGAAACGCACGCCATAACGCACACCAGTCATAGATACATGACAGCGTATCACTCGCAAACAACTGGACTAACCGAACGTCTGAATAGGACGTTGGCTAATATAATGTCGATGTACGTGGATCTGGAGCACCCAACAGAGGGCAAAATTTTGCCGTATGAAACGTACACTCACAATACTGCCCTGCAACAGTCGACCCGACTGACGCCTTTCCAACTTTCGTTTTGGCCTCACAGGCAGCACAACTTTAGATACAATGCTGCCTGTAGTGGAAATGTCCGAGCATGACCATGATACCGTTGACTTTTTACAAAGATCAGAAGAAGCAAGAGAGCTTGCACGACATCGTATTCACCAGCAACAACATGTGAACACGTATAGATACAATCTGCGACAAAGAGACGTCAAGTACGCACCGGGCCAAGAGAGTCTCGATGTGGGCTCCCATATGAGTACGTGGCCGGTCAGAAAAGCTGCTACACCGCTGTTTCGGTTCCTACGAAATTCTTCAACGGATTGGCTCCCTGAACTATGAAGTTGTTCCGGACAGACAAGAAACCTCATCATGGCGGCGTTAGCACACAGAATTTGTGCATGTCATTAGAATGAAACATTATCATGATAGACAATCAACCATCGAGAGGACATCTTCCTTTCACAAAAACAGCTTTCACCAAGAAGCTGTTTGAATGAGTCTGGAAACCATCTTCTATGAAGCATTGGGACGATGCAGATTTAGAAAGAGGGCGATGGCACAAGCCACATGAAAATTGCGCGCACTTTCGAATTTTCACGCCTTCCCGATATTGGACAGATCGCGAATCCAGAAAATAGCACATGTTAGCACGCGCACAACAGCAGCCTCACGAGAGACTCTAAAAAAAGAAGACGAGGTAGATGCTTTTAAACGAACCGTTGTGTGGACTAAACACATAGACAGTGAGTCATTTGTTTCTTGGCCACAAGTGCGCCCCAACCACTTAGTTTCAGTGAAGTGTACTTTTTCATTGTGCGTTACGATATCCACATTCGACTGAAGTTTGTATGTACTTCTACGAGACAGTGCCGTCTATTGTACTGTTCCAGAGATTCTGCCATCATTTTTTCTCGTCTATTCTTCTCTCGGTTATGCCTCACGCAGGACAAGGTTAGACTAAGAGGAGCTTCGCCCCTAAATTGGTTTCAGCGAATGAACGAACGTAAGAAAAATTTTATAAATTTCTACGTTCAGGGCGGGGTCCGGAATATTGTCAGGGTATGCCCTGACAAAACTGAGATCCTGACCGAAGAGTAGGAATTAACGAACGTTTTCTTACATGCACCAGCTCAAGCAAATATATAATTGTATGTATTGCCATGGAAAACAGTCAATGCTCAGTCTAAGGCAGACATCGCGAACAAGAGAAGCGCTGATGGCACCGCTACAAGATACGAAGCGAGTCACGATGGGTGAGTGGATCCTACATGCGTACGAGCTTCGACCTAGCGGCCAGCGCACGTGAAGACGAGAATGACGGTGCTCGAGGCAGAGGTTCGCGAGGACTACGGACGCCGTTTTCCCAGCCGCTGTGTCATTCTTTTGGCTTGGGCATAAGTTCGCTCTTAATAATTATAGGAAATCCTTGTTGTGAGCTTGTTATATCTGCTACATTTTCTGGTGGAGGTGCTAGGTAAATGATTCTGAGCCCCACATGAGAGCAAAGTCAGAGCACTGACTAGCCGCATCCTGTGGAGCTTACACCGGTACACCAACGAGTCAGCTGCCGTATCCGAGAAGAATCGCGAGAGTTCGAACCACTTCCTTCTGTTTCAAGAACATCGGTGACGGAGACAACTGACACCACCAATATTACGAGCCAAGTTACGCCGAGATAACTTATTGACATTTTCCAGGTAAAGGAGTGCAGTAGAGAGAAAATTACTCAAGGCTTGTCATTGGCGATTAGCGGGCTACAGCTCAATGCTTTGATCAATACTGGTGCGGGTTATTCCGTAGTGTTAAAAATTAGCGAAGCGACTCAGTAAAGTTTTGACGGAATGGAATGGAACTCAAGTGAATACAGTCACCTCATAACCCATTTCGGCCGATGTACCGCAAGGGTCGTGATACGGGGCTTCATTTAAGTCGGTGACTTTGTCGTTCTGCCGGTGTGTTCGAGGGCGGTTGTACTCGGAATCAATTTCCTAAAACCTAATGGTGCCATTATTAATTTGCAGGCGTCAATCATGTCATTTTCGACAGAACACGCTATAAGAGCGGCACGAGAAGAAGAGCGATACAACACTTCACCACGTGTCATCGATGATGATGTAGCGGCACCGCAACGGAGCAGTGTAATGGCTCTTACCAGAAATGACACATTTAGCGACTACGAAGGTGTGTCAGGCTGCAACTTGGATGTTTTTCTAAACAGAGGTGTTTATGCAGCACGAGGCATTATCAAGACGCGGTACGAGTGTGTAGGCATCCTCCTCACAAACTTTGGGAATGAATTCCAGCACAGTGCAAAAGAAACAGCCATAGCCTTTCTTGACGAGTTCCGTGAAGTGACAGAGGTAAACAGTCTCAAAACTAGACCAACCGATATAGCACTGACATCTGACATTTGTGACGTCATATGTGTCAATTTTAACCTTTCATCGATTCAGCGTCTTCTTCTATATGACCTAGTACGGGAATTTCGCAGCTGTTTCTCCAATAGTTCAAAGGTACGGCGCACAACAATTACGAAACATAGGATTATAACGGATGCGACAACCAGGCCAGTATTCCAGCACCCGCATCATATTTCCCTGAAGGAAAGGGAAGTTCTGACAGCACCTCTACAAGAGACGAAGCCAGCCGCAATGGGCGAGTGGGTCCTGCATGCGCACGAGCTTCGACCGAGTGGCCAGCGCGCGTGAAAACGAAAACGACGGTGCTCGAAGCTGAGGTTCGCGAGGACTACAGACGTCCTTTTCCTAGCTGGCGTGTCAATTTTTTGGCTTGGCCACAAGTTCGCCCTTATTAAAACTTCCAAACAAAACATGCTTGTTGTGAGGTTTCTCCGAATATCCAGCTATATATATACCAAGAAGTAGACGACAGGCAAAACGAAAATATTTCATTTTTATTTTATACGTATGTATATATTGTAAGCACATTCCTTGTGCTTCATCGTTCTCACTTGTATACAACCATCGTCATCGCGATTGGGCTCCTTCGTTGTGTTGCGTTGTTGTGAGCCGAGGCAATCATCGTGGAATAAATGCCCCTGCTGGGCCTGCCTGGTTGAGTCTCCCTGTATTTTCATAAATACACACACACACACACAAATATATATATATATATATATATATATATATATATATATATATATATATCTTTATATAAACATCAGCCGAGAATGTACATATAAGTGCATATTTTCTATCGCAATAAAAGTTGTCTAAGCTAGCAATGTTTGTGAAAAATAATACAAAACTTGCTGTAAAGAGCAATATTTACAGAAAATGGTATATCGAATCAGCTCAACAGTCACCAAGGAAGCATTCGAGAGTATTACAAATATTCTGAAGAGGTGAGTTCGCTTGAATGTATACACCACTAGTATGTGTGCACCAGGGAACTGGTGATAGTGATAACCAGAACACCCGAGTTGTAAGTTTTGCTTTGCGTCCACGATATTCAAGCCTAAAGCAAGGTACTCATAATCACTCCCTTTGAATCAGCGAAGTTATGAATGTAATGCTCGTTTGAATAGGCCAAGGTTGATCAGTGGCTGTGATGCTCAGCTGCTGACGTGAAGTTCACGAGTTCGCCTGCCTTCTCGGTGGCTACATTTCAATGGCAGTGAAATGGTATACGCCAATGTGCTGTATCATACTAGTGTTAAAGAATAGCAGATGGCCAAATCTTCTGAAACCATCAACTATGGTGTCCAATTTTGATATCTTGGTTGTGCCACGTGAAACATAGATACAATTATTAATAATTCTGGCAGAAAACGCATGACTTCAGGAAGTACTTGTGCATTTTTCAGCTCTGACTGGCAGTCTTCGAGTGATGTAACAGTCGAAGCGGGGAGAGTTTTATTTGGCCACAGAGACTGTTGGAGACATGTAAGTACAAGTTATAACGGTGAAGTAAACGAAGTCTAATATTTTAGCACACCTTCTACTTCCCAAATTTTGTTTAGCTAGTCTCAAGCAAGCAATCATAGAGATTTTTTCAGAAGCGAAAATGTAATATGTCAGCAACGCCGAGAAAGGAGGGCCAATTATTCAAATGTTGCATTGATATAGAGAACACAAGAGCAAAGGGTCTCTTAAAAATGTATAATATAAAACTGACAGTGCAAATTGAAAACAGCAAAAGGATTATGTCATGGGTGTGGGAAAGGCAGGAACAAGTAGAGGGAACGAGAGCACAGCAATTTGGCACAGCAATATAAGGAATGGCCAGCATCCGAACGTTCCATCGTGTTGCTTTTGAGAATCAGTGAAAGACCGACTACGGGTCCACAAAGCACCATGCGTTCCTATACAGCTGCATCTATTGTTGTTTGTGTTGCAGTTGATCTTGCACACTTACGTGTGAACGGTTTACGATGGTTGCATTTATAAAACAACCACTTTCTGCCCTTCACGTGTTTGAATGCCTTCCCGGGCTACTTGGTTATTCCACGCAATCTTACATGCGTTTAAAAAAGTTCTTGTACTGCACGACAATCATATCGTCTTATTTTTCACCGAAGCAGTTTCAAAGAGTATCATTGCTTTGTAGTGGGAAAGTTGCTTGCCAAGGCTGCGAATACTTTTTTTAACACTAGTGCATATGCTTCGTAACCTCTCCTCTGAATGAAACGAGCAGGAGAAGGCAGCTGCGAAAGCGTTTGTGGGGAAGAAGCAAAAAGCAGCCTTTCGAATTGGTGGCTCAAAATCAAGTTTGTGAAAAATAAAAGAACCTTTTTTAGCCACCTTCATGGGGGCTAGTGGTCGGTGTTCATATTTTGCTGTATTATGGTTGTCAGGTGGTAGAGTCCTTAGCAATAAAAATTTTATGGCAGGAGCTGAGTTAGAAATCTATGTCACGAAAGTTGGATTCTCATAGGTGAATTTTGTATAAGAATGACATCAATTTTTTTCAGGGGCACCCCAATTTTATGCAGCAGGCCAGAACTAGTGAAGCTTCAAGTGCGCTAAAGACAGAAATAGACCTTATTCATAGGTACTATACACTCTAGTTAGCAGGTATCAAAAATTCAAGAGCGCTGTTGAATTCATCCCAAATAGGGCTTACAAAATGAGAAAGAGCAAAAATAAATCGTAGAAGTTTTTAACCGTGCTTGCCCCTGTCTAATTATGATTGCCAAGTGATGCTTCATTCAGACAACCTTAATTGAACATTGACCCCTGGTTCACCATCTCCCTAACCCAAGTGCTGCTTTCGCTGTTGCTCTTTATTCTTGTACTGTTTTATAATCAAATTTTATTCCTACACAAAAGTATGTTTCGACGGTTGCCTCTAAGAGCTGTTGGAACAACCTTGGGGACTATTAAACATCCAATACAGGATAGCAAAAAAAGCGCGCGCCAATCTATCCAGGCTTATGTTTACGTGCTTCAGAAGTTTTTAAGGACAGCGCATAAAATACAGACATGAAGAAAGGTCTTCGTTACATCGCAATGATACCCAACAGTTATTATACTTGGTTTAGTGATATGGTCGATATATAAAATATCTTCCTTTATCTTGTGGTTTAGCAGTGCAGGCAGTTGAAATTCTAACACTTTATTGCCCTACTCTTTTCTGAATTTCGATATGGATCACAAATAAGGTTTATGCCCATTGTAATCTGGAAACGTTTCTATATCCTCGCTATTAAATGCGAAGCATTTCTTGGCGAACTTCCGCGACTTTGATCGTATTTATCTATCAATCCGTTTACGTTTAGGTGCTCTCGTCGTCACCCTCTTAACGTGGCACAAAGGAAAATTTGCATAGAAACATAAAATGGTTTGCCAAATATGACGTGCTCGTCAAGACAGACATAATGTCACAATACCATCGCGTACATCATCAAACAACTGCGCCAGCGAGTGGCACATACCCACTGGCGTGTATGTGCCACTGGAATGTGGGTAGGTGTCACACGTGATTGACACTTAATATCTAACCAACAACGACGAGAACACACATGGGCAATTTTAGCGCGTGAGCATTTATAAATACCCGACATCAGTAGCGTTGACCCAACGAATGCGAAGAATCAAAGCCAGAGTCCCAGCTGGAATCGAACCCAAAAATTCTGCGTGGCAATGAAGCATTTTACCAAAGAGCTACGCCAGATCTCGGAATGACTTTTTGAAACGACGCTAATCTTCGTGAAACATAATTATAAATTGCAAGGCTGTCTACCAAATTATGTAAGCATTACACATGAATTCTTTGATGCCGCCATCACGTCGTGTTAACGTGAATTGTGGTTACGTGCCATGCGCTGAAGTTAACTTACATAGTAGTGTCCGGAGCCATCATCCTTGCGAGCGAGCATCAGTCTTCATATCAGCTTCTAGTGTTCCTAATAAACATGTTTCAGTTGGCATCTTTGCGCAAGTGCAAACAGCTGGTTATATAAACATCTGCAACTCTTCAACATACGTCGGTGTGTGCGACATTTGTACATATATTTGCCGTCAATGTATGGCGTGTCACTTAATGAAAAAATTCTAACATAGTCACCATCGCTCTGCATGCTTCGCATAACGTCGATTTCCCAGTACGTGGGATCTGCCAAACTTTTATTGCACTGGTATTCCTATTTTTTCATCGAACTGAGCTTATGTATATGACACAATCATATGCGGCGGTAACCTGCCATCAAAAACAAGCGCTCCGAAAAAGCGCGCGCCACAGAATTATAGCGACAGTAACGATACCAAGCGCAGAGAGGCGCCTGAAGGTCAACGGTAAAGAAGAAAACAAACATCCAAAGGCTCCCTGGGCGCGCCGTCTCTCCCCCCTCGGAAGCGTAGTCTCGCCGACCATCCTCCTCAAATTGGCGGCCGAGCGAGCCCTGGAAGGTTCTCGAGGAAAATGGGTGTGGTGATGCAGACTTGCACCACAAGTCGCGGATGGCCCTCGAAACATCTCGCGCTTTCCCCAGCCCTGACTGCATAGCACCGACGAAACGATGAGAATTTTCTGGAATCTGGCGCGAAAGGTATTTAAGCGAGCAGCGGAGAACGGAGATCAGGAGAAGAAGGAATTTTGCGCCTGTGTGCGTAGGGTGTTCCGCCTTGTCGGCGAAGCCTTTTGTCCTCAGAGACAAAGGAGGTAATGAAGAGAATTTTGACATAAGGGGTGAAGACTCTTGCTACAAGCAGAAGAGTGTGAGACTACCGCCAGAGAGCGAAGACGCGTCCTGCGATCGCAACGCGTGGGAAGCTCACCGACGAAGTTGGTGCTTGAATAGCGGCCAATTGAAGACGCAAAGTTCTTGGGAGAGAACTTTGGGCGCAGCAGACCAACAACAGCGCTGGACTTTGAGTGAGTGATTCTCGGAAGAGTGTCATTCAGACTTTTGTTCCAAGGACTTTGGACTGAATGAGTTTTCGAACTCTTTAGTCTTTAAGTGCCTTGGTTGTTGGATGCATGTGATTGCATTGTAGTGCGTATTGTTTTTCGTGTCCGTGATTTCGAGTGTGGCAGATTGTACTGTGTAGTACGCTGTCTGATTGGTGGCATACCGTATTCAACTTTTGTCTAGTGTGCATATTTGTGTATCGTTTTGATCTGCCATAATTGAGAATTTAATTTTGCTTTGTTTAAAAACTTTCGGCTCTCACTTGTTCTTTGGGTCTCAGCCGGCATCGGCTGGCGCGCCAATTAGGACCACTTCTAAATTGTCCGCGCTTTCGTGGTGCAGTTCGGGGTGGCGATACTTCAGCCCTTGGAATTAGCCCGGCGATCGCCTCCCTAATTAACGGGACCTGTGACACCTGCATGATGTGGCATTTCTCGTATAATTCAAAATTGCGATACCCTTAAAGGAGAGACGCAATTTTTTTTTCAAGGTGGTAAGTTTTCTAGTGTTAAGATTTGTTGGTGTTGACCACAGCGGTAGGGCATATGATAATAGGGAAGCCAAAAGTTTCATCATAGCACGCTAAAAGATATAAAAAAGAAATAGTGGCAGCGCATATTAGCGAGTGTTCTGGGTAGTTTTGTAGCAGTATCGCTTTTGTGATTATCCCAAGCATTTTTTTAGAAATACATGCCTAATGACTTGAAGCATTGTGCATTCAACCTATGTATTAACAAAACTACGAGAACCGGACGTTTCTGTGGTGGAGGTGCAAAAACAGCCTTAGTTTTGTATGCTCTTAATTGTAGGGCAGTTTGCGTCAGCTATGCATTAACTTGAGACAGTAATTTATACGGTGAACTACTCACTCACTGCAACATTTGTCTAATAAAAATTAAATCGTACCATCTGCCTATATCATAAAATGCGCCGATTCGTCAGTATGCTCTGTGTCACTAATAGAAAGTACAAAGGAAAACGGTCACCGACATTTGTATGCTGGACGCATGTTTTGATGCATTTCGTTGTGGAAGGCTATGATTCACTTACAAAGAATTGATGGCGCTGTTTACCAAAAATGTGTGCCTTGTTTCTGCGCCATGTCTTTTTGACCGCAGTAATTCAGCTTTTTTGGAATAATTTATTGATCGATGAGCTCGAAGATTTTGAGAAGTTTAAGAAACGACCAAGTTCTATTTTTGAGGTTATAGAAAAATGTATTGCTTTTGTGCTAATAGCGTGACCTCTGTAGTACTATTTTTACTGTTTAGGATTAGATCCCGGCCGCGGTGGTCTAGTGGCTAAAATACTCGGCTCCTGACCCGCAGGTCACCGTATGGAATCCAGACTGCAGCGGCTGCATTTCCGATGGAGGTGACAATGCTGTAGGCCCGTGTTGTCAGATTTGGGTGCGCGTTAAAGAACCCAAGGTGGTCAAAATTTCCGGAGCTCTGCCCTACGGCGTCGCTTCTAATCATATGTTGGTTTGGAGACGTTAAACTCTACATATCAATCAATCAACCAATCAGTTGT